TTTTCAACAAATAGCCAAATCATGAGAATTTGATTTCATTCCTAATCCTTGTGTTTTAATTCTTATTCTGACTGAATCTTCAAGATTAGGATCATTTATGGAAATAAAGAAATTTGGTCTAACATTAAACCAAACTACTCCATTAGCCAAATTAGACTGAATTCCTCCAATGATTGCATTCATTGGGTCGGAAAATCTTTTATCAAAAATTACTGCCAAAATAGGAGTATCTATCCCTTGGCGAAATAAGGTTGTTATGGCTACTTGAATTAATCCAATATGAATATATTGAATTTCAGGATATTTCTTTTTCCATCTTGTAACCTTTTTCTTATAAAAAAAAAGAATATCAATATTTCCTTCTTCTGACCATTTTGCTTGAGTGTTACCACTGTATTGTTCAAACACTCTTGCTGAAAAGAAGTTAAATTTTGAAAGTTTATAAATTTCTGGAACAACAACTTCTTGCATTTTTTTGAATTTTGCTAATTCTTCGTCGGTAAAAGTTTTTTCTTCTCCGATTACATCTCCAAGTCGAATTGCCTGTAATTCTTCTTGAGATATACTATTTGTTTCTTGAGATTTTTCTTGACTATTATTAGTCATCATGAAGATTAGTTCTTCATCTGAACTTTCTTCATCACTAGAAATTTCATATAAGATTTCTTCTTTATCAGAAATTTCTTCTCCTTATATTATTTCAAAATCTTGTTCTTCAAGAATTTTGATCATTTTCTTTGCACTTTTCCCTCTTTTTGGGCATTCGGGTGCATAGTGACCTTCTTCGTTATAAATGTAACATTTAGAAGTTTTATTTTTTGAAACACTTGTTGGTTTCTTTTTTCGAATATATTTTTTCTTTTTTGAAAAAGTTTTGTTCTTTTTCCAAAGTTTCTATTTATATTTTCTACGTTTTTTGGAAAATCTTTTTCTTTTAGGAAATGTATTACAACCAATTTTTCAATTTTCTTTTAAAATTTTATCACAACATTTTTGACCATATGGTGAGTTAGAAATTTGATTTTTTATTTGTTTTTTCGCCTTTGCTTCTAGACACCGATCTACTATCAGTCTTAAAACATAATTAATGCGAAAACCAAGATTATCATATTCTTCCTTCCCCATTTTTTTGAGAAAATCAGGATATGTTTTAATACATAACTCATCCCATGAATTAGGGAGTTTATGAAAAAATTGATCTAACCAGGATTGATTTGCTGGTAGATCAATAAGATAATAATATTTTTTAAAAGTTTGAATATAGTCTTCAAAAAGACAAATATTACATAATTCTAATTTAGTCAAAATATAATTTGCATCTGCTTGCAAATTAGTATCTCCTGCAAAACCACATAAATTTTCTTTTATGATTTTTGCAAATTCAGCTAAAATTGTGTCCAGTGTGAGCATTTTTTGACTTTTTCCAATTTCAAATTTTTTCCACTGTCTTAACCATTGCAACACATCTCCCTGGAGAGTTGCTGCAATATAATCAAGGAATTTTTCCTTTAACCAGCTATTTTTATAATTGGTAATAATGATGGACAAGGATTATACCCAATCATCAATTGCTTGTTCCTGATCTTTAAATGGAACATGAGACAAGTCTAAATAAGTACCATTTTGAGCAATTGGATACTTATGATTATTATCTTTTCTAGATATTACTAACTCAGGTGTAGGATTGGAGGTACTTCCAATGTTAGTATCATTTTTAACTTCATTTGTTTGAATAAAGTCAAAATTTTCTCCATCTCCCCATGTGCCAAATAATTCGGGATCAATTGGCTCTTCTGCTTTCTTTTCCCTTTATTTATTTCTGATGAAATATCTTGATTTATTGTTTCTTCAGATGAGGATGATTGGCTGTCATCATCATTAGTTGCCATATTAATATCATAATTAAAGTGTTGTAAAAGGGCTTCATTTTCTAGATAAGTTTCTCTTATCTGATCTAGTAGTCTATTTCTTTCATCAATACTTAAATCTGGGTCTTTATATAATTTTCTCCAATAATCCAATATTTTAACAATATTTTCATATTCAATCCTATTATAGGTATTGGTTTAAAGTACCATAACATCTTCTGTACCATAATATCTTCTGTACCATAAAACAGCCTAGGGATGTAACTATCTCCTTGACTATTCATTCCATCATTGTTTATGAAGGCTATAGTTTCTAATTTTGTCACCAAATTGTTTATTTGGTTTTTTGCTTCTTTATTTAAGTCAATATTTATTATAGAACCCACATTGCCTATTTTAGATTCTATAGACTCAACTTTGGTCTCTAGATAATTTTGATTTATTTTTTGATTTTTATCTAATTTAGAAAACCAAGAACACATAATATCAGTAATATTATTTAAATTAGAACACACACTATTTATATTTACAGACTCTTTAATAATATGCAAACTATGATCATATTTATTATTAACATTATTTTTTGTATTTCCAAAGCATATTATATCGTTAGAATTAATTGCTATTTTAGATTGTTGTTGGTACCTAAGACCCTCCTAGTATATTATCTGGTGCCTAAAACCTCTCTTTATGATCTTAAAGACTTAGTTATGGCCAATAGTCAAAAGATCTTAATAAGTATATGGGCTTTTACATACACTACGCATATAGGTTTTATAACAACTATAAATGAAACAAATAATTATAAAGATATAAAATACAAAGGATACACAAAAAACTTAGATGGAATTTTTTAATAATTTTTTATTTATTTTTATTTATTTATTTATTTATTTTTATATAACATAAAACACACCATACAAACTTATATATATATCAAAAATTTATACATAGATAGAAATACTTACATAGCTTGATCTTGCTTTCAAAAGCTCTTCACCAAGCTCTGATACCAATTACAAAACAAAAAAGGAAAGGAATTTTTACTATTTTTATTATGGAATTATGGTGGAATTATGGAATTATGATAGAGAAATCAGAGACAAAGGAGAAAGAAAAAAGATAGAGAGAATATGGAGAGAATTTACATTGCCTTATTCATTGGCTTGAATGCCAATTTATAGAATACATATTGCATATACAGACAAAAGCCAAAAGTTATGGCATAGCTACCTTACGTCCAATTTTTACAACTTTTGACAAAACTTTACAACTTTTTGACAAAGTCTACAAGCCTAGGCATTATATACAAAGACAAAAAAAGTCATAAATGAGAGACTTCAATTATTTGTCATCTTTGTACTACAATTATATACAAGCTTTTTTTCTCCAAAGAAAACAAAATCAAGATACCAAAATAGAAACAAATCCACATTCTTTATTTAGACTTCTCTACAATATTTAGTGAATCGGTAGGACATATGTTATTGCTTTGCCCTTGGAATAGAGCAGTCTGATATACAATTCCTCTTCAACAATCCACTACTAGACATTTTCAATTTATTTCTTTATTTATTTTATTTTAAAGAAAACATACTACTGTTATATGGCTAAATGTTCCACATCCCATGGCACCTTAACGCTGTGTTTGGTTAGAAAGTTTGAGAAAAGATTTGAAAAAAAGAAAAAAGTATGTGAAACTAAGTGAAATGTAAGTATATTTTATTCACATTTCATCTATATTTTCCTTTTCTCTTTCTCTTTCTATATCCCTTTTCAAATCTTTCAACCAAACACAGCTTAAAAATTCAAATTAGGGAATTGAAATCTATCTCTAGGACAAGCACAATATGTAAACATATAAACCTGTTCATCAGGTGGAAAACTTATATTTCTTAATCCACAGATGGTCTCACATTAACAAATTTGAGTAGAACTTGATGTCCAAGCAAAATCATAGAATCATCTTGCTTTTTTTAATCCAAAGGTCATGTTTACTTGAGAGGACATGGCCTTAGAATAATAATCTAATAAAATACAAAATTCCATGTTTGGCTAAGAAACTTGAAGTCCAGACTAATAATCCACCTGGACATGTATCCCCCATCTAGTGGACAATTGAACTCTAAAATGGGGATTAAGGAGACTAATTGGCTAAATTAAAAAATTGATAAGAATTTTTCAATCCTTCCTCCTAATTCTAGACTAATCCAAACATGGGACATGATACACAATCCAAAAGGGTTGATAATCCCAGGACTACCAGTATAATTTAGTTTGCCCAAACAAACATGACCCAAGTACATTCTTTTGCCTAACATCTTACTATTCAATCCATGCTTTAAAATTTCAATTAAAATTTACCTGATTTTAGTGTTTGATATTAACCAACTCCAAGCAGTTCTCTTAAATAAAAAAAGGACAAATTACACTAATAGTCCCTACAGTTTGAGACTCGTGTCACTTTGGTCCCTCACTTTTCAATTGTGACACATTTGACCCTGAATTTTGAATCTTGTTCAAAATAAAGACAATTGAAGATACTATTGTTTAATTTCAAGGACAAAATTGTCAATTTAATAAAATATAAACTAATTTGACAAAAATAAATGTTAAAAAAATATTTTTAATTTTTTTAAAATTATTTTTATCCACCAATGATAAAATTGTGTAAAATTGATTAAAATTAATAAAAATTACATTAATTTTTAAAAATTAATTTTAAATAATCATCATCCAAACACATAATAAAAATTAATTTGATAAAATAAATAAATAAATATCTAAAAGATTTATCAATTTTACATAATTTTATTTTTAGTGGGTAGAAATAATTTTAAAAAACTCAAAAATATTTGTTTGACATTTATTTTTGTCAAATTAGTTTATATTTTATCAAATTAACGATTTTACCCTTAAAAAATCTAATGATATCTTTAATTGTCCTTATTTGGAACAAGATTCAAAATTCAAGGTTAAATATGTCACAATTGAAAAATCAGGGACCAAAGTGACACAAACCCCAAACTATAGGGACTATTAGTGTAATTCACCCTAAAAAAAAAAATTAAAAAATACCTCCAATCAGTTAGGATCAACTTCAACTCCACACTACTTGCAAAATTCTCAGTAAACAGAACAAGCTGTGTGTTGAAAAACCTAGTGAAACTAGATAATCTTCATGCATAGTACAGTTTATAAAGTGCGACCCCCCTAGACAATTATATCCAACAGCTCCCACATAACAGAGTTGCTAAGATTCAGCCTTTTAACATAAACAAACAAACAAATAAACAAAAAAGCACTCTGTTTTTGCTTGAGTTGTCCATTTCATTAATTGAACATAATTACTGCATTGGGAGAGGATCTTGGAAAACTTAAAAACTTTTGTGCTACTTGGAAAAGTTCCTTATGCGGTAGACAATCTACCTTGATAACCATCTGTTGTAGCACCCTTGCATTCTTCAGCAGAAATTGCACAAACGAGAAGAGGCAACCACGGTAACACCATCTTAAGCCAGCACACTTAACTATTTTCAGATGCATCATCAAACAGTTAAAAGTCTTCTTTTGTGAAGTCCAGTAATGCTCCCCGTTAAAATTGAAAAGGCGGGGGCGAACGTCAGAAAAATACTGCAGATGAAGAATCATTAAGCTGAAATCTATGCATAAGTTTAAGAGTATCAACACAATTTTAGCAAAGAATGACTTCTCATGGTCACTGAAATGAATCAAAATTCTACATCAGATGTCATTTAGAGAAAATTTTGAGGGTGTAAACATGATGTCCAAATAAAATTTATTTACCTACAAACAAATGGCGAAAAATTTCCATAGAATCACTTACAATCTAAAGTAATGACTCATCAATACTACGTAGTAGAATTGATTGGCATTACTATATAAATTACATAAAGATAAATTCAAAACCAATTTTTAATGGAGTCTTTCCGTATCTTAAAGAAATAATTAAGGAAATTATTATGAAAAGACATACCGTAATATTATTTTTGGAAGGGGATTTGGTTATGACTAATGTCTCTAGATGAGAAGAACTTTCCAAGATGTTTGCTATTCCAGGGAGAACTGATTCCTTGATATCCGTATCTAGTGTTAAACATTCACACTTTGACAATGGAGAACGCCAACCTTCCATTTCCAATATTGATAGTGCCTTTCTCCATCAGAAGCAAGATGCAAAACAAATATATATATATATATATATAAAATACAAAACAAAAAAGCACGACAAAACCAATTAGAAGACTGTTTTAACTATTCGTATATACAAATTGTAAAACAAGTCATGCTTAGGGAAGACGAATTGTGCTACAATCTTAGTTTAGTGTGGACAATTCATGCTAACCGAAGATAATTCGTGCCTGCAATTTGAATATACTTATCTTCTTGACGATGATATCAGGGCATGTAATCATGGTATATCACTATTTTCCGGGCCATTGATTTACTAAAATCAAATACATAAATTACATGATATGCGTTTAGTGGCAGATTCGAGATCCTAAGACTCTGCCCATATTTGGAACGAACCAATTTTACTAGCTTAATTAAATTAGTTTTTGCTATTTTACTTGGTAGTTCAATTCAATCCTCATCTTTTGATCAAATTAATTTACGAATTTCTATTTGAATCAACACAACTCAGTTCATTTGTCCTCGTAGTATGATACTTGGATGATTCACTGTTCTATGAAATACATGTTGCGTACAGTTTTTTTTTTTTTAATAGAAAAAGGCTGATCATTACTATACCCTTCTAATTTAAGAAATATGCACAAACATTGTAGACTTGAATAACCAAGGGGTTGTAGCCTGTTTGGCTAGCCCTTTGGCCACCAAGTCTCTCCTAAGGGGAGGTCTTGGATTTTACTCTTGGGACTGGATGGGAGGCAAGAATTTAGTCTTTGCAAGGAAGAAAAAAAATATATTGAATAATTGAATGGCAAAGTTACAAACAAGAACAATTCTTCATTATTCAAGAATTTTAGTCTTGAAATACCTAACAAATGATTTTCGACACATAAATTGTGTAATTCTCTATGAAGAGTTACATAAACTCAACAAACATTTAGAATCAGTGTTATTGGGCAGCTTAAACATAAATTATCTAAAAAGAAGACAATATAATAATCAGTTAAAAAATGGAGAATTCATTGCCACAAATGATTATAGAAAGACAAACCTGTAAAAGCCAAGTTCCTAACGTGAGATTCTTCACATGAACAAGGCTCTGAAGAAGTCGTCTTGAAATATTTTGGTGCCATTCAAAATCATCATCCAAATCTTCATCATCAATTGTGAAGTCACAATTGAGGGTAGCATCAACCAAAGATGATACGTCTGCCAGCCAACAATTCGTCCTCCCAAAACAACCCAAAATCTCCAATGATGGAAGATTAGGGGCCAAAATTTCCAACACAGAGTAAGGTTCATCTTCTTCTTCATCCATGTAAACTTCTTCTTCCCAAAATTCTCTCAGGATCAATTTTTTCAGACGCGCATTAACAACATGCAAACGAGTGATGCCATAAAAGTAATACAATTCCAAATTCTCCAATACAGGACTACCCGCTAATATCTTCCCCATCACACCATCATTTAACTTAACATAGCCAATCGACAATTTCTTTAGCAATTTCCAGCAAACAACCCCTTTAGGCATCACAGTGCACAAAGAAAAACGCAATTCTGTGAAGGATGAATTGGTAAACAAAAGCTGTGGCAACACAAAACGAACGTCCTCATGCAAATAATTATCAGCAGTGTGGAATTCGAGATGAAGCTCCCCCGTTAAAATTGAAAAGGCGGGTTGCGAAGCGAGTCCATAAATTGACATTGGAAGAGAAACGCGAGTCGTATTTGAAATCAACCACGAATTTCTTAATCTTGGAAGAGTTGCAGAGGACTAGGGTTTTATCAACAAATGTGACAAATTCACGAATTGTATCAACAGAGTCGGGATAAGGGAGACGGAAAAGAAGTGATGGAAGGGTAGTCCAAAGGTATTGCCATCTTTTAGACAAAACATCGGTTTTGATGGCGTCTTCGATTGGTAAAAAAGAAAGAATATGAGTGAGGAGGGAGTCAGGTAACATACTGATTCTATCGATAGGGGTCTTTTTGCTGCAAGTCATCTTCGGCCGTATCGACAATGGGACATTGTCGTCGTCTGTGAGCAAAGACTCGTAATTTCTTGGCCGGGGAGACCCGTTGCTTCGTCTTAACATGGTTTTTCACTCTGCTCGAAACAAACACCCCACCCCCTAAGTTGCATATCAGATCATAATCCATAACAAGGCCTTGTTTGCAAGTGGTTTTTTTAAGTTAAAAAGTCAAAAAATTATTAAAAAAATTAAAAAGTCAATAATTTATATCAAAAAGTTTAAGATTTTCTTTTCTTTCTACTTTTTATACATCTTTTCGTAAAAATTCAAAAAGTCATCATAAATATACTAGTTTTGTTTAGCTCATATTTTAACCAAATAACTAAAAAATTACTAAATTAACATGTTCCCAAACGAAGCCTAAATCTCTACCAAATAAGCAATTTCCAAACAACTTAACAAAAAAAAAAAATATCAAAAAATTAAGAAATAATTAAAAAATAAATCCCCAAACAATATACCAACAAAAAAAATTAACCACATAAGTCGGTCAATATGAGTGAACACATCTAGTATGATTTTTTATGTGGTTAGTTTTATATTCATAATATTTTTGATGTTACAAAACTTAATCCATTGACTTAATTTGTCAGAAAAATGTTACGTATAATCTCATTTTCTCATTTTTTTCTCACACTTAAATCCAAGTGAATGGATTCTATATGTATTTATTAATGTGTCATTTGTTTGTATTTAGAAATAAGAAAATGAAGTAACATGTTTATGTAAAGGAAAATTCTACAATGCACACTTTCTATCATATGCATATCTAAATTACTCTCATTTTCTTCTTTAGTTATGACTTTATTTAAGTTATGACTCATGAGATATTTGGTTATGCTTTATGTGTTGTCTGGTTATTACTTTTTTTTATTTATTTAATTATAACTCAGAAAGTATGAAATTATATAATTTTCTTATTTAGTTATAAGGTTTATACGATACACACCTATCTTTCCCTTATGTATAATATTGCTTAATCGGTTAAGAATCAATTACTGGTTCAAACCGTATATCAATAATTATTTCATGAGTATATTAAAAATTATATTTACTTAAAATACTTTCTTTAAATTATTTATATATATATATATATATATAAGTGGAAATTTCCGTTGCAACATGATACTACAATTCCGAATTGTTCATGAAGTTAGCGACCATTTTTTGAACACAAAAATGAATATAACACAAAGCGATAACGAATGTCATACTAAATGACCAAATGATATCTGTAAAAACACTGAACCTATTCATCAGGGGGAAAGCTTGTATTTCTTAATACAATGCTCTCACATTACACTTCAAATAATTAGTAACAATTTTAGGTAGAACTTAGGTTCAAGCAAAATCATAGAATTTATCTTGTTTTTGAACCCGAAGGTCATCTTTGTTCGAGGGGGACGTGGTCTCTTAGTATTGACTTAGAATAATCTAATAAAACACATAATTTTATGCGTGATTAAAAAAATTGAAGTTATGTATCCTCCATTTGGTTAGCTGTCAAATCCAAAATGGAGAATAAGGAAATTTTCAGAGTAATTGGCTAAATTACACAATTCATAAGATTTTTTCAATCTTCACTCATAATTGTAGGCTAATCCAAACATAAAATACAATACACAATTCAAATGGATTGATAATATCAGGACTAACAGTAATATGAATACTCATCCCATATAATTCAGTCCACCACAACAAAGATGACCCAAGTACATTCTTTAGCAAAAAAATTTCTACTATTCAGTCCAGGCTTTCAAATTTCAACAAAAATTTACTAGATTTTAGTGTTGGTTATTAACCACTCCAAGCAGTTAGGATCAACTTCAACTCCACACCACTTGCACAAACTTCCAAATGAACAGAAACAAGTGCATGTTCAAAAACCTAGTGAAATTAGATAATCTTCATACATAGCACGGTTTATAAAGTGCGACCCCAAGACAATTACATCCAGTGATAGACTACTTCAAAAGACAAACAGAACAAAATAATCCTAGGAAAAGAAAAACACTCTGTTTCTACTTGAGTTGTCCATTTCACTAATTGAACATAATAACTGCATCGGATGAGGATCTTGGAAAACTTAAAAGCCTTTGAGCTGCTTGGAAATGTTCCTTCAGTGGTATACAGTCTACCTTGATAACCATCTTTTGCAGCACCCTTGAATTCTTCAGCAGAAATTGCACAAATGAGAAGTAGAAGTCACAGCAATTCCATCCTAAACCAGCAAACTTAACTATCTTCAGATGCATCATCAAACACTTAAAAACCTTCTTCTGTGATGTCCAGTAATGCTCCCCGTTAAAATTGAAAGGTTGGGAGAGATCGTTATAAGAATACTGCAGATGAAGAATCATTAAGCTGAAATCTATGCATGAGTTTAACAACATGACTTTAGCAAAGAATTTGACTTCTTACGGTCACTGAAATGATTCAAAATTCTACATCAGATGTCATTTAGAGCATATTTTGAAGGTGTAAACATGATGGGCAAATAAAATTTATTTACTTGCAAACAAAAGAGGAAAATTTTCAACAGAATCACTTACAATCTAGAGGAATGATTCATAAATACTAAAAGCACCAGAATTGATTGGCATTACTAGATAAAATGCATAAAGATTGATTCATAACCAATTTTTGATGGAATCTTTCCATATCTTAAAGAAAATAATCAAGGAAATTATTATGAAAAGACATACCTCATCATTCATGGAAGGGGACATGGTTATGACTAATGTCTCTAGATGAGAAGAACTTTCCAAGATGTTTGCTATTCCAGCGAGGACTGATTCCTCAATATGTGTATCTAGTGTTAAACATTCACACTTTGAAAGTGGAGAACGCAAACCTTTCATTTCCATTATTGATAGTAGCTTTCCCCATCAGAAGCAAGATGCAAAACAAATATATACATAAATATACATAAAGCAAGACAAAACCAATTAGAAGATTCTAGAAGATTGTTTGACATACCTACAATAATATATTTTGTGTATTAAAAAACAAACTAACTATGTGCAATTCCTAAATCGTATTTAATTTTCAAACCATGTCACTCCTTACATTGGAGCAAAAGTAACCACAAAGGATCATATCATGAAAACACAATACTAAAGTAGCCCAAACACAGTATTGTTAATTGTAATTGGGACTTTTTTCTAATAAATATCATTTAGCACAAAAAGAAGCACAAAGCCATAGCTCCTTTTTCCCCCTACAACTCAGATGACTCAAACTCAATATCTGCACCAGCAATATTAGTTGGTTATATCATGGTATGAATTGCAATGTACTTAAATCAATTAAATCTGGGTTTGAATCAACTACTTAGCTATGGGTGTTAACTGTCCCAAAAGCCAACAACTTATACTAACTATTACTATACCCTTCTAATTTAAGAAATAAGCACAGCCATTGAAGAATTGATTGGCAAAGTTACAGGAACAATTCTTCATTATCCAAGAATTTTAAGTCCTGAGATACCTAACAAATGATTCTAGACACAGAAATGGTGTAATTTTCAATGAATTATTACATAAATTCAACAGATATTTAGAACCAGTGTTATTGGCAAGCTTAAACATAAATTATCTAAAAAGGTAACGATAGAAAGACTAACCTGTAAAACCCAAGAACCTAATGTGAGTTTCTTCACATGAACAAGGTGCCGAAGAAGTAGTCTTAAAATATTTTGGTACCATTCATAGTCATGATGGCAATGATCATCATAACACTCGAAATTACAATTGAGGGTAGCGTCAGCCAAAGATGATACGTCTGCCAACAGACAACACATTATCCAAAAAGAACCTGAAATCTCCAATGACTGAAGATGGGAAGCTGAAATTTCAATCGTAAAGTCATGTTCATTATCAATTCCACCTTCTTCATCTTCTATAGAATCCCAAAATCGAGAATACCAAAATCTTCTTAGGATCAATTTTTTCAGACTTGGTTGATTAACATGCAAACAAGTGAAGCCATAAAAGTAATACAAGTCAAAAATCTCCAATACAGGAGTACCCTCTAATATCTTCTGAATCACATCATCACTTAACTCAACATACCCAATTGACAATTTCTTTAGTAATTTCCAGTCAACAACTCGTTTAGGCACGACACTGCAAAAACAAAATCTCAATTCTCTGAAGGATGAATTGGTAAACAAAAGCTGTGGCAACACGAAACGATCTTCCTCCTTCAAACCTTCGGCAGCAGTGTAGAATTGGAGTTGAAGCTCCTCAGTGGCATTCCTTGCTGCGAAGCGAGTCCACAAGTTGACATTGGAAGCAAAACGCGAGTCGTATTCGAATTCAACCACGAATTTCTTGAGCTTAGAACAATTACAGAGAACTAGGGTTTTGTCAACAAATGCTACAAAGTCAGCAATTCTTTCCCAGTAGTCAAAATCTTCACCGATATCAGGGTAAGAGAAAAGGAGTGATGGAAGGGAAGTCCAAAGGTATTGCCATCTTTTGGACAAGACTTCGGTTTTGATGGCGTCTTCGATGGTTGGTAAGAAAGAAAGAATGTGAATGAGTAGAGAGTCTGGCAACATGCTCATTCGATCGACGACAGTGGTTCTATTTCTGCGAGTCTTGGGCCGTTTCGGCAATGGGAGGTCGTCGCTGCTGGAGTCACTGTGGTGGCTTCGTCTTGACATGATTTTCAAACTACAAAAGAAAAGACGAATAGCTCAACCAGCTTCTCAAATGGCACACAACATTCATGGGTTTTTATTCCCGGTCGGACTACCCTAACGGTCGGACTACCCTAACGATTATGTGAAAATTAATTAATTAATAACCCTTAACGATTATAAGTTGAAAAATGCTAGAGGTCTCAAATTTTCTACCAAATAAATGACTAAATGTAGGGCTTACAAAATTACGAACCCCACACCCATGTGAGACATTTAGTCATTTATTTGGTAGAAAATTTAATATTCCTAACATTACCCTTATAAATTCTTTGTAAGTTCACTCAAAGTCATATCAGTTCACCTTGTAAGTAATTAACCATTACATCTCAAATTTAATATATTTCAAGAATAAAATGATTTACCTTTTTTTCTATTATTTATTTTATTTATAGGTACATGATGATGATTGTACCTTTGTTAGTCATTGAAACTAAAGAAGTTGAGAAAATATTTCTTTAATTTTTTTAAATTTTTTATAGAAAAAATATCTCTGCAATTGAACCTTTAAATTTTGGCTCATTTTCTATTCTCTCAATCTTTAAATGACTATAATACTTTCAACAATGATTCTTTATAGGTACATGATGATGATTGTACCTTTGTTAGTCATTGAAACTAAAGAAGTTGAGAAAATATTTCTTTAATTTTTTTAAATTTTTTATAGAAAAAATATCTCCGCAATTGAACCTTTAAATTTTGGCTCATTTTCTATTCTCTCAATCTTTAAATGACTATAATACTTTATAGCCATGAAAAAATATTACATATATTGAAAAGGGAATCATTACAACTTTGAAATGGAGATTATCACAATCTCTAATAAATTCTATTAGGATAATTTCTATCCGTTAAGGATTTTTTTAATCTTAAAAAAATAATTATTTTATATTTAAAATTCTAATTTCTCAACATTACATAAATATTGATTTTTATCTAATTATGAAGTTCAAATACCATAAAGTATGTAAATTATATGGAGGCTAAGAGCATCCACATCAACATTAAGAAATTTTGAGTCAAATTACAATTAAAAAGCCACTTTTCTATTTTAGTTAGTATTTTTTATACGTAAACACTACATTCGACTCCCTATTCTAAAATTAAATTTTATAAAATATTTATTTTGTATTGTTAAAAAGTAGTTAAAGTAGTATTGGAGAAGTTTTTAAATAAAAAAAAGAAAAGAAAATTGTGTCCAGCAAAGGGTGTTTGGCTGGACATCCAAAGTGTACAAGACATCCAATGTCTATGCAATTCAATATTCCTAAATAAATAAATAAGTTGTGCAGCAGTCGATAGTTCGGTAGGATTTTTGGCCGGATGATCAGAATATCCAATCACTCTTAAAAATAAATAATAAAATATTATATAATATGTGAATAGTATATCGCTACATGCAACGATGTACTATAGTAAATTTAACCAAAAACTAATTTGGAAATAATTTATTGAGATTGATGGAGCAAAAATTTTATAATTTATTAACTATATCAAAATCTATATTTATTAAGACGGATGTAAATGCTCTAATGGGCCACACAAAATGTAAACCTAACCCACTTTATTTACCATTTATTTTTGGTGGGTCGATTGGTCTTCTATAGGACTAAAATCACCAGTTATTTTCTCTATTCGTGTGGAAAAATGACCAGCTATTCATAGTCTATAATAGTATTAACTAAAAATATGAATATTAAAATTATATTTAGATTATAAATTTAAGTAAAATTATAATTAATTTTTTTAAATATAAATAAAATACAAGTGTACTTCACTTATTTTTTTTATTACCCTTTTTTTTTCTTTTCAAATCTCTATTTAAATTCTTCATTCAAACACAACTTAACAAAATGAGTCTGTCACTCAGTCAATTGCTGGTCAATGAGGGAGCTGAGAAGGAAACCGCAATCAATTCCAGGGCAACCAACGACTCCCAACTCCAAAGGCTACGCTTAGCAAGTCGTTGGATAACATAAGTAAGAAGAACATTTCCTTCTTCTCTGCTATGGTGGTTTGTTTTCGTTTGCTGAATTGGGTATTTCGAATGGGTTTTCCTTCCATTTTTTCTTTCTTTGTTGTCTCCCATTTGGTGATTGTTCACTCTACTGGGCAAGACGACATGTACAGGTACCAACATGGTTGTCCACAGTCCTTCAACTGTGGAAAACTTGGGCCTATCAAATTCCCTTTCTCCAACGACACATATCCCCGATGTGGGTTGTGTACTGTCAATTGTAGCGAACTAGTACCAAAACTCCATTTCTGGTCGATGGAAGAACGGTATGAAGTTGAGGAATTCTTGAATGATGAAGCTGTAAATGTTATTGACAAACTCATGAACTCTAATAGTTGCGACATTTTTCAGTACCTTGCTTCTTCCCCATCCTACTCCTTCCGTTTCCTATACAATCTCTCCCAACCTCACCTTGTTCAAATGCCCTACAAACAGCAATAGTAAACCTCAACTGCAGACAGAAGTTTACAGTTTCAGCAACTGCTCAGGCTACACTCTCTACTATACAGATCCTAATCAACATACTCCAACTCCTACCAATCTGTCATCTGACTGTGTAGTTATTCAACTACCAATGCTACCATCAATCCGGAATCAAACTGTCAGTGATCTATTTTCACTATTGGCTTATGAATTCACTATTGGGTTGCATGTGTCAAAGGAATGTAATGGGTGTCGCCATAATGAAGGCCAATGTCCACCTCATGGCTTCCCAGAGTTCCATTGCCTAAAGGATGAAGGTATTGGCATTTCTGCAGGAATAAGTAACTTGAAATTGATTCTAGAAGCAGGTAATATCCATGACTTCTATAACTAATATTTTGATGTATGAATATATTTAGATGCTTGGTTTCCAATCTACTAAACATGTCTAATTGCTTCAGCTGCTGTTGGAGTTGGGATTTTATTAATTCTATTGTTCTACATCATAAGGAAACTCTTGCAAAGTGAATTGACAGAGAGCTACCAAAATGTTGAGAACTTTCTAACAAATTATAGATCTCTTACTCCAAAAAGGCACACTTATTCTAACATAAAGAAAATGACCGACTCCTTCAGAGTTAAACTTAGTCAAGGAGGCTTTGGTTGTGTCTTCAAAGGAAAGTTAGAAAATGGTTGCTTTGTGGCAGTGAAGGTTCTGAGAGGGTTGAAAGGTACCGGAGAAGAGTTTATTAATGAGGTTGCGACCATTAGTTGGACATCTCATGTTAATATTGTAACTCTTTTAGGCTTTTGTTTTGAGGGTTGCAATAGAGCTCTTATATACGAGTTCATGCCTAACTGATCCCTTGAAAAATTCATACATGATAGGAACTCGTCGACATTTCATCAATTGTGGTGGGAAGCATTGCACCGAATTGTAGTTGGGATTGCCAAAGGATTAGAGTACTTACACCGTGGTTGCAACATGCGAATTTTGCATTTTGACATAAAACCTCATAATATTCTTCTAGATGAGGACTTTTGCCCAAAGATCTCTGATTTTGGCCTTGCAAAACTGTGCCCACAGAAAGTATTATCTCACTGTTGGGAACTAGAGGGACAATTGGCTATATTGCCCCAGAAGTAATTTCTAGAAACTTTGGAGGGGTTTCACACAAGTCTGATGTCTATAGCTATGGAATGTTGATTCTAGAAATGGTTGGAGTAAGAAAGGGCATTGATGTTGGAGTTGATCAAAGTACAAAAATATACTTTCCAGAAAGGATATACAAGCGTCTTGAGCTAAATGAAGAACTTGGATTGCATGACAATGTGAATGACGAGGCAAATGAAAGAGCAAGGAAGATGATTATAGTTGGCTTGTGGTGCATACAAACTAATCCCTCACACCGACCATCAATGAGTAGGGTGATAGAGATACTAGAAGGGAGCCTCGAGTTGATGAAAATCCTGCCTAAGCCTTTCTTGTCTTCTCCCTCAAGATCACCAGCAGAATCTTCAACCACGCACACTTCATAACTGAGAGGGTAATTTGTAAACAAATTGGGCCGAGCTAGGAAGAGTCTTCTTTGGGAGTTGGACCGCGTAATGGGCCGAGATAAGGGCTGGTGTAGCTCGGTCTTAGGCCAAGAAGACATCTCATATTTCGGGTTTGGGCCGAACCATGGGCCGAGGTAAATATTTATGTAGCACGGTCCTTGATCATCTAAACATCGGGTCGGTCAAAGATGGGCTACCAGTGACTTGACCTAGCTATCCCGGACCGAGCTATCAGTGGAGGAAGAACCGAGCTAAAGGATAACTCTGCAGGGCGTCATCTCAAAGTCAAGACTGACAGTGGTGCTTAAAGTATCACCGAACCGAAATAACTTGGTTGACCGCAATGTCAGCCGAGGTAAATGGCAGGGGACCGAGATAAGGCAGTTCGGTCAGAAATGTATAACCGAGGTAAAGGGTTTAGCCATCTCACTTGGCTTGCAGTGATGAGACTCCTAGGAGGACTCTGCCAAGGAGAGTAGAGTCCTACTAGGATTATGCAAAACCATCTCACTTGGTTAGTAGTGAGTAGGAGTGTGACTCCTAGGAGGACTCTGCTAAGGAGAGTTAGAGTCCTACTGGGATTGTGCAAACCATCTCATTTGGTTAGTAGTGAGTAGGGTGTGTGATTCCTAGGAGGACTCTCATAGGGAGAGTTAGAATCCTATTAGGATTGTGCCAAGCAAAGTCTATAAAAGCTCATGATCAGACCTATGTACAGGTATCCCAATTCTTACTCTAAAATACACATAGCTTATTGTCTATTGTCTAGTTGCTGACTTAGACATTAGAGGGGTTTCCGGTACACACCCGCCGGCTAGCTCACGTTTGTGTTTTCAGGTATTAAAGCGACAACGTTTAGAGGAGTGAAAACTTGATCAACAGGATTATACGAGAAGATTATTTTGTGCTCGTTCAATAACATTGTGTGATTCGCAATGCATAGTTCTACTACAAGGGCAAAATGAGCATTTCCAGTGAGAACTAAGTAAATCATATCTCTTATGTGGTTCTCTGCACACATCTCTCAAAACTTGGTGAATTTGCAATGCTTGAACAAGATATTCTGACTTGCTTTCATCTGAAACTAGTTATTATTCTATGAGAGCTAGAGTCTTGAGTCATATGATTATTATCCAACTAGTTATTATTTGTTAAACTTTAATTGTATTATAGAGGCGTGCAAAGGCCTAAAGAAGTAGTTACCAGTGTTTTGGAATTCACTTTTTTCTAAGGGCTTAAATACGAGGCTGGGGCTAGTTAGATTCAGTAAGATTTAAAAATAAATGGTACATCACTACCTAGGTCAAGATAGTTGTTCAATTTTGGAATAACATTCTGCACCGTCCAGAAATTTACTTTGCTCTTGAAGAAAATTTTATATTATTAAAAAATGAGCTAACGAAAAAACGGATTAATTATATTTTTAACTACCAAAATATCAACCTCGTATCAATTTGGTTCACAGTATATAAAAGTCTTTTAACTAGATCTTCAATTATTAGGTATTTTTATTCAATGATAAGTTAAAGCATTTTTTTTTTTTTTTAACTGAGAAAACCAAGACACCAAAAGCAGAAATTACAAAGATAGCACTAGAGCTCCCGAAGCAGATTAGCAAGAGCTGGAGGGGGACGGGAGACCCAATCAAGAGGCAATTCCCTATGCAGAAAGGCTTCGGCAGCCCAATGAGCAGCTTTGTTCGACGAACAAGGGCTCCAGCTGAAGGTGAAATTCCCTTGCCTAGCCATACATCTGGTATCATGAAGGATAGCATTGCACTCCCAAGGGGGAACTGTTTCAGACACACAGAGAAGGATGACCTGCTTGTTATCACCCTCAATCTCAATGTTCGAAAGGTTGAGCGCCTTTGCCATGTGACAAGCCATTCGAATGGCAAGAGCTTCACCTTGTAGAACAGAGGAGATAACCACAGACTTGGCTACTCCATCAATGAGATTACCTGAAGAATTCTGTAAAAGAATGGCAATTGCTCCTTGGCGAGACCCTTTCCTAACAGCCACATATGGTTCAAATTTATTTCATACATGGATTCACACTTCACCAATTTAATCTCCAAGACACAAATAGATTCTAGCCAAAAATCCGGGACAGAAATCTGGATTCCTAGACTAATCTAAGTTAAAATGCATATTATTATTAAGAAGATTTCAAAACAATGGACCTTTTTTTAAGTTTTTTTTTTTTTAAAAAAAAAAAAAAAAACTGAATTCTCTCCATCACATTGTCGTGAAAAAGCCACCTTAATATGTCTTAGTTTCAAATTCAAAACCAGTTATGACATAATTTAAAATTTAAAAATGACATAGTAATTATAGGCCGTTGATTTTGAATTCTAATGATGTCCAAACCTTATACATGGTAATGGAGAGGATTTTATTTTATTTTTTTGTTAATAATTGGCAACAGTATCCTAAGTAGGGTGTTTGGGCCCATTCAAAGAGCATAAACCCACTGTCACGCCTTGTGCTTCTTTGTCAATGCTGGAGAAGAGAACATATACCAACATGATTGTCCAGAGTCCAACTTGTGGAAATGTTAGGCAGATCAAATTCCCTTCAACTGTGCTTTACAAGTCCTATAAATATTTTCCAAGTCAACTGGCGTGTTGTCGAGCAGAGAAAACATTATAAAGACTTTGTTTTTTGAGCAATTGTAGGATCTTAAAAAAATTACCATATAACCTACATAATACTCGTATGTGTGTGGAATCCATCTTGTTTTTTCAAGCGAGAGCATTTTGTTCCTCTCTCTCTGCTATGATGTTTGTTTTCATTTGCTAAATAGGGAATTTTGAATGGCTTTTCTCTACATTTTCACTTTTTTTGTTGTTTCTCATCTAGCTTTTCTTCAGTCTAATGGGCAAGAGAGTATGTACCAACATGGTTGTCCACAATCCTTCAACTGTGGAAATCTTGGGCAGATCAAATTCCCTTTGTTTGACATCAATTATCCTCGATGTGGGTTGTGCAAGGTCGATTGTAGTTTACCAGTTCCAAAAATCAAATTGAAGCACAAATGGTATGAAGTTAAGAAATTCTTGAGTAATGAAGCCATAGAGGTTAGTTATAAACCACTAGGACAACTCATACGCCGTAATAGTTGCGAAATTTTCAACAACTTGACTCTTCCCAGTAAAGACTCTATTTCCTTTACAATCTCTCCAAGTCTCACCTTGTTCAAATGCAACACCAGCAGCAACAATGAACTTAACCTGCACGCACATGATTACTTCCGTGGTAATCACAGTTTCCAAGGCTGCTTAAACCATACAGTCTACTATACATACCCTAATCCTCATGTTCAAACTCCTAACAATCTTCCACGTAACTGTGAAGTTATTCAACTACCAGTGGTACCACCAATCAGGAACCCAAATGTCAGTGATCTATTTTCACTATTGTCTGATGAGTTCACTTTTGGATTGCATGTGTCAAATGAATGTCGCAAGTGTCACGTTAATAGCGGCCAATGCCATGGTGAACAGTTTCATTGCATAATGGATGAGAAACAAGGTACTGGCATTTTCTGCATATCCATGCTGTTATTTCTGTATTAATCATCAAACAGAATCCAAAATCTTCAATCTATAAAAGCATAATTCACATTACCTTGGTCCGTTTGAATTGAAATGATATTTTCCTTTTACTCTCTGTTTGTTTGGGAGGAAAACATTTGCTAACAAAAAACATATTTTACGTATGGAAAAAATTTCTAGAAAATGTTTTGCAGAGAAAACATTTTTTCTATGCTTGGTGGTGGTGGGAAGGTGGAAGTGGAGGTGGAGGCGGAGGCGGAGGTTATGGCAACGAAGATGATGGCGGTGGCTGTGGTGATGATGGTGTAGTGGTGAAGGTGATAATGGCGATGGTATTGTGGTAACATTGGTATGATTGTAGTCTAGAAAACATTTGGTTCCTTTTAAAACTAGACAACATTTTGAGAAATTCTACTTACACCACAATTTTTCCTCTTTACACTTATTTTCTCATTACATCATTAAAAAAAATTGAAATTCTCATTGCACCCTTTACAATACTAAAACTAACCCTAAATTAAACCTTTTTCAAAACCTCTACAGGTTTTTCTCGTTACTCCTATTCCTTTTGAATTACACCGGTGTCATGTTACCAAACAGATTATATTTGTCCAGCCATCTGTTGTTACACGTTTTTAAACATTCACTTTTCTTAAAATATCATTTTTTTCTTCTAAATTTATGATGAGCCTGTTCAGTTATACATTGCCACACAATTTAGATTATTGTGATGTCATGTTGCCAAACAAACTAGATTTGTCCAGCCATCTGTTGCCGCACGTTTACAGATTCACTTTCCTTAAAACATCAAGCATCCACAAAAACATGGAGTGTATACAAACATCCATAAAAACATTCATAAAATTTGTCAATGCAAATATCTTCAAATCTGTCAATATAAACATCTATAAAAACACATCGAGATTTTATCATAATCCATATATGTCGATAGTTTTGGTAGTTAGTAGATCAAGATTGACAAGCATACGAAATTGATCAATACGAGTAATATATATGAGTGATGAAAGTGAATCTAATTACTTGCTATTGGAGGTACTGGATGACCAGGAAGCAGATAAATCTAACAAACCTCGTTTATAATAAATTCATGACTATAGCCCATTAACAATGCATTACTAGTCTTACTGCAATGCGTAGAAGCATAATCCTTCAAAGTGAAAAACAAAAAACTGGAAATGTTTGGCTGTGAGTTACCATACATATGTACTTTTTGTTCGACAATAGATTACTGAACAAGTATTTTTTGTTCTGCAGTGGGTTACCGAATATGTATTTTTTGTTCAGCAGTGTGATTTCGGATTATTTGATTTTGTTCGGTTCTGGTACATAGAACAAAAGACGAACAACCTTCTTAAAAAAGAAATGAAAACGTAAAAACTAAAGAAAAAAACTCACCATTTCACTTTTTTGTTGGTCTTTCACAACCATTTCTTCGTCCATTGCTTTCTTTTATGATCAAAACAATATGATTCTTACTTTTTGAAAGTAAATGTATAGTAGAGAAGAATAAATGAGAAAGGAATAAAAGAAGTAGAAATTGAAGTATAATGGGTGTAAAGAGATAATCAAATCTATTTAATTTTTGTCTTTTGTCCTTAATGGTAATTTCACAAATGGGTAAAATTGGGGAAAGAAAAACATCTCAAATGGAAGGTGTAACAAGGTAAATGTGCTGTGTAAGTAGAATTTCCCCAACATTTTCTTCCCAAATAGACTTGTTTTCTGTTGATTATGAAAAATGTTTTTTTGTTGATTTCATTTTCATTATACCAAATGCCAGAATACACGGAGAACATTTCTGTCCAAACAAACAAAGCAGTTAACCTCTAACTAATGTTTTTATCTCTATCATTGGTTGCAGGAAGAAATAACTTGAAATTGATTCTAGGAACAGGTAATTTATAACCTCTTTAACCAATATTTTTATGCATGAGTGTATTTAGATGCTTAGTTCCAATCTGATTAAAAATGTAACTGCTTCAGCTGCTCTTGGAATTGGAATTTTATTAATTCTATTGTTCTACATCATAAGGAAACTCTCACTAAGTGAATCCAGAGTCTTTTGGAAGAATAGATCAGAGAGCTACCAAAATGTTGAGAACATTCTAAAGAATTATGAGTGTTTTTCTCCAAAAAGGTACACTTACTCCGACATAAAGAAAATGACCAATTCCTTTAGAGTTAAACTTGGTCAAGGAGGCTTTGGCTGCGTCTTCAAAGGAACGCTAGAAAATGGCGTCCTTGTGGCAGTGAAGGTTTTGAAAGGGCTGAAAGGTAGCGGAGAAGAATTTATTAATGAGGTTGTGGCCATTAGTAGGACTTCTCATGTTAATATTGTAACTCTTCTGGGTTTTTGTTTTGAGGGTCGCAATAGAGCTCTCATATATGAGTTCATGCCTAACGGATCCCTTGAAAGATTCATATATGATAGGAACTCAACTTTTCGTCAACTGGGGAGGGAAACATTGTACCAAATTGCAGTTGGCATTTCTAGAGGGTTAGAGTACTTACACCGTGGTTGCAACATGCGAATTTTGCATTTTGACATAAAACCTCATAATGTTCTTTTGGATGAGGACTTTTGCCCAAAGATCTCTGATTTCGGCCTTGCTAAATTGTGCCCACAGAAAGAGAGTATTATCTCACTCTTAGGTACCAGAGGGACGGCTGGGTATATTGCCCCCGAAGTATTTTGCAGAAGTTTTGGAGGGGTATCACACAAGTCTGATGTCTATAGCTATGGAATGATGATTCTAGAAATGGTTGGAGGAAGAAAGAATATCGATGATGGAGTTGATCAGACTACTGAATTATGCTTTCCACATTGGATATACAAGCGTCTTGAGCTAGATGAAGAACTCAGACTACAAGGCAATGTGAATGAAGAAGCAAATGAAAGTGCAAGGAAGATGATTATAGTTGGCCTGTGGTGCATACAAACTGATCCGTCACACCGGCCAGCAATGAGTAAAGTGGTAGAGATGCTAGAAGGGAGCCCAGAGTCCTTGCAAATACCACCTAAGCCTTTCTTGTCTTCTCCCTCAAGATCACCAGCAGAGTCTTCAACTACACACTTCATAACAATGTGCGATTGAGTGAGAATCAGGTAAAAGTGTATCGTTTATGTGCTTTTCTGCATACATCACTCAAAATTCATTGAATTTGTAATGTTTGAACAAGAGATTATGATCAGCTTTCATCTGCATCTAGTCTTTATTTCATAAGTGCTCGAGTGCTGAGTCACATGATACAAGCATTATATTATGTTGAACTTTAATTGTATTATAGAGGCCTAAAGTAGTAGTTACAAGTTCTTTATAATTAAGATTTTCTGAAGGGCTTAAAAGCAAGGCTGGAGCTAGCTACATTCAATAAGATTGAAAAAGGAATGGTATCTCTTTATCTTATTTGGCATAAAGAGAAGTTTTCTTAAATCAAGGTTTAAGAAATAGTATAATATAAATTAACATTTACAAGCAAAGATTCTAATGTATCAAGAACCTCCTCTGCAAATAAGACAAATCTGTTTCAAAGTAGAACGTAGTTAAAACAATTAAATATAGAAGTGTCATATATTTTGTCAATTTATTTGCTTCACATAAAGGCATTCAAATTGGGGGATAAGGCCACCCAAGGAGATTAAAACAGAGTACACCCTGTTTGTATAGCTAAATGAAGAGGTCAACAACATTTTCCTTTTATTGCAGATTCAGCTTGATCACTCAATTGACAGCAATTTGATGAATTTTAATAAACAGGTTACCAACTAATGCTGTGTTTAAATTATGGATTTGGATAGAATTTAAAAGACAAAGTAAAAAAGTCGAAATCATGATTAGGGCCGGCCCTGGGCTAAGGCCAGTGAGGCATGTGCCTAGGGCCCCAAAAATTAGGCACAAAAAAAGGCCCCAAATTTATTATCTTATACTATATTAAAAATTTAAAATGACCCAATTTTGTTAAATTAATTTAGGTCATTTTAAAATGCCTCAAAAGTTCTATTCGGTCCAATTGATAAAAGGCCCAGTTAAAAAATATTTATAAGTGTTAGTTGTTAGCCCAATTAAAAAAAATAAAAAATAAAATATATGTATATGTGTGTGGGACCTATTTTTTTCTTTTTCTCTTTTTATGGCCCAATTATGTGTTTTTTTAGTGGTTATTTAAATATTTTACGCAATTTTCTTTATTTATTAATTTTGTAGATACATCTAATTTAGACACACTTAAAAATTATAATATTTGTGTTTTTTTTTATAAAAAAAAATTGCCAAATACAAAAAATATAAAAAAAATATGAATTACAAACTCAAATAATTATTTTTGAAAATTTTAAATCAAACAGAATGATTTTTATTTTTATCTTTATAAATTTCTAAAAAGTACCGAAACCCATCAAAACTCAGGCCGGCCCGGATCATGATCCAAAAAACAGTTTAAAAGTCTTTTATTTCTTCTTTGGATGGATGAGAACTGCACGTGGCACGCTAAGGATTATTTTCTGGAGGATTGAGGACAGTATCCTCACAGTAATAGGGGAAATGGGGTGGCTCCTGCTGTGTGTCACGTGTGGGCTTTTCTGGGTGTATTTTGGATTGTCCAAATTGTTTATATTGTACTATACACATTAGTATTGATCAAGAAAATTATTTACAAAAAAAAAAAAAAAAAAAAAAAATTAAATTCATCGGACATTTATAGTCACATAATCACGTAAAATTTTATTATTAAAATTAAATTTTTATTCATTTTTTAAAAATCAAATATGATTTTATCATATGATTACAAATGTCTGATTAACTTAATTTTTTTATGAATAATTTTTTTGATAAATCTTACAATATAAATAATTTGAATCATCAAAATAAACCTGTGAGAAGATCCCACCAGGCAGCACAACAGATTGCAGCAACCCCTTTTTATTTATTTATAGTCAATCAATATCCACTTATTGTTTGGTTAGCATGAAATTGTCCTATCACATTATCCCATTTTTTCCATTAATTTGAGTATTCATAAATTGTGTGACTCAGAAATCCCAATAGAAAACTAACATAATCACAACTTATGATATCTTAAGTAGGGGAATTCTATCATACACACTCTATACTATATACCCCTTTAGTTATGTTATTTTTTTCTTTAATTATGATATTATTTTGAAATTTTTGCTTATGCCTCATTTGTGTTTGGTTTATAACTCATGTTTTTATTTAGTTATGACTTAAAATATGAAATTATATCATTTTCTTCTATACTTATAAAGTACATATGTGTACCATAGTCATTCCCTTTAAAGTATATGTAAGACTGGAATGCATCCAGTTTCAACCAACAATGGTGGTGTGTTTGGCCAGAACCTTTACATCCTTTTATTATATGATTGTAATAAATAATTGATTAAAGATTACGAAACAAGCATGTTAATATATATTTATTTCAAATTCAAAAATAATTATAAACTGTTAATTCTGAATTTTAATAAAATGTTGTAACCTTATATATTATAATGGAGAGGATATAACTCTTCCCTGGCATTTCTTTGAAAAGTTAGGAATTAAATTATATTTTTCCTTTTACGTGTGGGTCTTAATCCTAATGAAGCAAAATAATAATAAAGAAATACTTATATTTTGAAGTAATTAAACTTAGTAACCTTACACCTTCAGCAAAATCTCATTTGACCTTCGCCAGTTGTCCATTGTTCGGATATTTTAATGAAAACAAATAATTTTTAATACCTTTGTTATATTTTAATTGTTTAACATTATTGCAACAATAAATCTCTTATTTAGTGTCTTTTAATTCCAAAACTGTTTTAACATTTATTTATTATTATGGGCTTTGATTGCTAGCAGTTTGAGTGTTATGGTATTTGTACGAGTACGAAATAATTTTCTCGTATAATTCTATTGATCAAGTTTGTATTCCTTCAAACGTTGTCACTTTACTACTTGAAAACATAAACGTGAGTTAGCCGGCTGGTGTGTGCTGGAAACCTTTCTAATGCCTAAGTCAGCAAAATAGACAATAGACACAAAAACTTTGTGTATTTGAGAGAAAGAATTCTGATACCTGTGCATAGGTCCTGTCATGAGTTTTTATAGATTTCGCTTAGCACAATCTTAGTAGGATTCTAACTCTTCTTATCAGAGTCATGCTAGGAATCATACTTCCAAGGATAATGCCTATCCTGATAACACCATACTCACTGCCAACCAAGTGATATGGTTACAACTCTTACATCGGCTGGTACCACACTCAACTAAGCTTTGCACGGCTCGGTGCTGCTTTTGGCAGCACTGTGGTAGTCCTAACTGTGAGATGGTGCCCTGCAGAGCTACCCTTAGCTTGGTCCTCCTTCCTACTAACACTTCAGTCCTCTACGGGGTTTAGCTTGGGATAGCTAAGTCAGGCCCCTGGCAACCTATCTCTGACCGACTTGATGCCTAGATAATCCAGGACTGTGCTATCCAAACATTTACTTCAGCCTGTAGTTCGGCCCAATGTCTAAGATAAATGGACTTAGCTCGGCCCAAACTATTACATAAATTACCCTCTCAATTGCCCTTTAATTCCATATACGCAGCATGTTTGGGATTATCCAGTTTTGACCGAGCTGTCAAAGTCGATGTCAACCAAACCGCCAAACCACCCAGCAGAACTGAGAGGAAATACTCATACTGACCAAGCTCAAATTTTGCTCGGTTTCCAAAAATTGTGCCAATCGTACATCTCGTCTTTTTACGCTCTTGACATCATGTCGTCACTGTGACAGCCGTCAAAATACTGCCCAAAAAATTTCGAAAAGTCTCGCCGTTTTGCTTCCATGTTATTAAACTCGTTTTTCTTCAAATGATCACCCTCACTATTCATCTTCTCTCTTACAAACCCTTGCACTCTGTGTTCCATATCTGCACCTCCTACACTCAAGTCCCAACCATTGATCTAAATTGCCTGTCTTGCTTGCCTTTTTGCTGGTGCTCTTTCTGCCGATTGGATTTTGTTTTCATGCCCTAAATCCGTAAGTTGCCCATGCCTTTTTCTCTTCTCTACTGATATACTTCTGTTTATTTCTAAAGAATAGCATTTTAACACCAGATATGTGTGTTATATACACCAAAGACTGAACCAATGTCAAAAAAAAAAAAAACCTCAAACCTCCATGCTCAAACCTGAAAACACATTGATTGGAACTTAAACTAGTCTGGAACCATGTTTTTGATCCAAAATCGTACTGCGACCGAAATAAGAACTTGTTTGCGACCTTTAGGCTTGCTTTTGACCAGACTAGAAATGCCTTGCTCAACAACCGGGCTATAATCCTGCCCTTCCCCCTAAACTAGACTGAAATGACCTCGGTTTAGGACTGATCTAAATCCTTGAGCCGATTTTGTTCCCTGGCCGAACTAAGCATGGCACGTGACCTCCCAATGCCGAGCTAGGCTTGTTTAGTATTGACTATTTACTTAGCTCGGTTTATCACCTGGGCATAACACATTTTTATTTCCATTTAGCAGACTTGACTAGGTTTGCCAGGCACCCCTTGCACTTTGCCCTTAGGCTCTTTTTCTCAACCAAGCCAACGAAAGTCCACATTAGCGCCGTGCTAGGCCGCCGTGTAAACTTTTTTAACATAATAATTTTAAGATAATAGGCAAATGCCGCTTTCTAGTGAACTCGTCTGGTGTCATGGCCCAATTCTGAAGGGATTACCACATACCAGACGACGTTCATCTTTCCTTGACCGAGCTAGACACCACGCCATGGGGCAACCCAGGTTTTGTTCCTTTCACCGTGGTGTCCATCGTAGAGGGGGGACTTCTGTTCCCAATCCAACCATTAATTTGCGAGTTCCTTAGATAAACCAGGCTATACCCCACTCAATTATCAACCAACACCTATAGGATTATCAACGGGATAGTCGAGCTAAATCGTCGCCTTGGCCTCAATCTCGGTTTGGCCGAGATGTTCCACCAAAATTCGCTCAGCCAGAATGACGATGGCTGGGTTTATTACCTTAGAATCAAAAAAGGCCGAGAGAAAATTGTCAAGAAAACACCGGACAAAGACCTAAATGATGACGAATTTCTCTGGGTGTCAGGAAATTTTGAAGACTAAGAAGCCCAAATGCCGGGCTACAACATTAACTGGAACAAAGGAACAGTCGGTAAGGCTAGTTCGGTTTTAATCCTTTTTGCTATCGTGTCACATATCACGCTAACCCGTGCAAGTTTACCCCTTTTTGCAGATTTAAACCAGCTTAAATCCGCTTATGCATACGCGAACCAGGCCGCACTAC